AGATGGATTTTAAGGAGACGAGAGATGTCCATTGGCTGGTCCAGATCAATCTCTGATCAATGGTGAAATAACACCACTCTCCCACCCCCCAAAAAACATGAAAATAAAATTGGTGGTGGATGATTCACTAATGATAAATGCGAGTGATTGTCAAGGGAAGATGGTTAGGTTGTTCTTGATCAGTGGAAAGTGCTCAGATGTATTTGGGTGAGGGTCTTCAGTAGTCAGCCCCTAGAAGGACTCAATTGCATCACTGCTGACTGAATTGCTGAATGTAACTGCTGGATTGGGTTTGTGTCAGGTGGTAAGGGAACCAACAATAGAGGAAAACCTACTTGACCCTGTCTTCACTGATCTATGTGTTGCAGGTACATCTACCAATACATCATGGAGAGGAGTGTCTACTGCACATTTCTCAGAGATAAAATCCTGCCTTCATGTTGAGGATACTCTGTGTGTGTGTGCGCGCGCGTGTGTGAGAGAGAGATGTAGCACTTGCACTGTGCTAAATGGGATAATTTTTGAATGGATCTCAAAATTCAAAACTGGCCATTTGAGGTGCTGTGAGCCATCAATAGCAGAATTGTATTCACCGCATTCTGTAACCTCATGGCCCAATTTATCCTTCATCCTACTGTTACCTGCAGGCTGAGGGTTCAAGCCTAGTTCAGTGAATGGTACAGAGGACGTGCCAGGAACAGCTCCAGGCTGACCTTAAAAATAAGATGTCAACCTGTTGAAGCCACAACATGACAACTTGAGTACCAAGAAGAAAAACAGCTCCAAACCAATGGATCAGGTCTAAGCTGTGTAATCCTGCCACATCCATCATTGAATAATTTTTCATAGATTTTATTTCATAGATTCCCTAAAGTGTGGAAACAGGCCCTTCGGCCCAACAAGTCTACACCGACCCTCAGAGCATCCCACCCATACCCATACCCCCCTATAACCCACCTATTCTACACATCCCTGAACACTATGGGCAATTTAGCATGGTCAGTCCACCTAGCCTGCACGTCTTTGGACTGTGGGCGGAAACCGAAGCACCCGGAGGAAACCCACGCAGACACGGGGAGAATGTGCAAACTCCACACAGACGGTCACCCGAGGGTGGAATCAAACCCAAGTCCCTGGCGCTGTGAGGCAGCAGTGCTAATCACTATGCCGCTGTGCTGCCCTTGGTGAACAATTAACAGCTAACAGGATGAGGAGGCTGTAGAAATCCCCATCCTCTACATGGGAGATCAACATAACACTGGAAAAGAAAAACCGAAAGAACTGTGGAGGCTGTAAATTCGGAACAAAAACAGAAGTTGCTGGAAAAGCTCAGCAGGTCTGGCAGCATCTGTGAAGAAAAAAAAGTCAGAGTTAATGCTTTGGGTCTGGTGACCCTTCCTCAGAACTGGACCCGAAGTATTAACTCTGGCTTTTTTTTCTTAACACTTGAAAAGACTAGGCTAAAGCAGTTACAAAAGTCTTTGACCACAAATGCTGAGTAGATGATCCATTTAAAACACAGCATCTGCAGTGTTTTGCATCTGAAAGAAGCGCAGAGAATGCTAGAGAAACTTCACAGATCTGGCGTGGTCTCTAGAGAAAGAAAATGAGTTAATGTTTTGAGTCTAGTATAGTCATACAGGAATTAAAGCATTAACTCTGAGTGGATGATCCACCTCGGCCTCCTCCATTGGTCCTCAACATCACAGGTGCCAATCTTCAGCAAATTCAATTTACTCCATGTGACATCAGAAAACTATTGGAGACTACAAAGCCTATTAACCCTGACAACATTCTGTCAACAGTACTGCAGACTTGTGCCCCTAACCAAGTTGTTCCAGTACAGATACAACACTTGTATCTACCCAGTAATGTGTAAAATTGTACAATATATCTTGTTCACAAAATGCAGGACAAATCCAAGCCTGCCAATTACAGCTCTGTGACCTACTCTTGATTATCAGGAAGGTGATGGAAGGGGTTATCGACGGTGCAACCACAACTAGATAGCAAACTATACTGTTATTGTTTCTTATAATTCCCAAACTATCTCGCTGGATGTTGCTTGAATATAACTCCAGATATTCCAATGCAAGAGTGTCAGTAGATGTAAACTTAATGGGTGTGTATTGACCTCTGACATTTAATAAACACCTGATAGTACATCCGGTGTAGGAGACTTCCCATTCATTCCTAGACGTATTCAACAATATGAATGACAGTGATTTCCTGAGACCATTAGAGAACTCTGCATTCTCTTGTAACCAACTCTGGCAACTGCTTCCAGCACAGGGGACCTTGAGTATAAGTTAGGTTGAAGACTTGTGCTACGTGGTCATTCTAAGCATATGTTTGAGATTTTGGTTATGTATCTCTAACTTAGTGCATCTTTACAACTTGATGTCCCTAGTGACTCGAGCCAATTAGTATTTTTTAGTATTTAGTATTTTTTTCTTTTTAGAAAGTATCTTTGTGTATAAACTTTCCAGATCTTGTGTGACAGGATTTTCTGGATTCTAAGATATTCTTAGCCTTGCACAAAGGCAGACAAATTTTTTTTTCCCCGACCTCTGCCTGGCCGAGGGGAGCTTGTATTCAGCCCCACACCCTCATTTCTTTTAAAATCTGTCACTAGTCTGAGGCACCTTGTGTTTAGGAGGTGTGGAGGCCACACCCCACTCAGTGCTGTTCCCACGTGCAGTCTGCAGTGTGCCTTACTGCACTATGCTATCTCCCTGCTGCTGTTGGCATGGACAGCTCCCATTACTGATGGAGAGACTCAGCCTGAACAAACCGGGAAGTAGAATAATTCCTTTCAATCTGCCATCATTATCACTTCTCTGCTCCCTTCCCCAATATTAGGGCAAGATGGAGAATTCCAGGTGGGGAGGAAGGATTGAGTAATGAGGAAGGAAGGCATGTGTGCATGGGGAGGTGGGTTGGAAAGAATTGAGTCTGTATGTGAGAGGTGGGGGGACTAAAGCAGAGCTGATTGCCATGTTTGGGTGAGGGAAGACAAGCCTCATTGAATCGTTTCCATGAAATATAGAGAATTTATTTGAAACTTGCATGAGTGCATAAATACTTGCGAAAATGTTATTATAAAATTGCAGAAATAACTGAATGAGTTATCTGGCTTTCATTCTGTTTTTTCTGTTTGTACATTTTGATGCAACTAAGTGTCTTGCGAGGTCATTTTAGAGGGCTGAGAAGAGTCATTGCTTTGGGTTTGGGGGTGACAAATAGGTTAATCTCACACTGGAGAAGGAAATATCCTGACCTAAGCTAATGAACGTTAATGAATCAATTTGAGTGTTTAGAGTAATAGCTTTGCTAGTGCCAGCTTTTTATTACTGATTTTTGAAAATTACAAGTAACTCCTCTTCACCAAATCATCAAGGAGAAGGGACACCACAGTATGTAGTGGAGGTAAAGCTTAAGGATTACATCTAGTGGGCAATGCACAGTTTACCTTTATCAAAAAATAACACTTAATTTTTGGTTGTGGGTACTACATTGAAGTCTATTTTGAGACATTAAACTATTCAGTATGGAATACATTTGCTCTTTAAATCTGAGATTGTTTAGATAAACTGGGTTAGTTATGATTGGCGATTGCTTCCTTGTCTGTCTTGCCGTACTCCTGTCCACCAGGATGATTCTGATGCTAAATGTCCTGAAAAAATATAAAAATATTATTGATCTACAGAAATATTCAACCAGTCATTTTGATCGTACAGAACTTGATACCATTGAAACTGACGCATTTTTGTCAAAGCTTTTTGTCTTGCTCGTGTCAGGACAATTTGAAAGAATAGCAGTTTGACAGGCAAACCAACATTTATACTTTTGAGAGGAGAGTGCTTATTGGTTGATAAGTGGATGCTGATTAGAGGCATCACAATGGAAACTGCAGGAGTTAAGTGATTGACAGTTAACTGTACCAGTCATATTGACGAAGGCCACTTTTAGAATACTGTGTATGGTTCTGGTCACCCTGCTATAGACAGGATATTATTAAATTGGAGAGGATTCAGAAAAGATTAACTGGATGTTGCTGGGACTGGAGTGTTTGAGTGACAAGGATAGACTGGGACTTTCTTCACTGCAGCGTAGAAGGGTGAGGGGTAACCTTTACAGAGGTTTATAAAGTCATGAGGGGTATAGATAAGGTGAAGAGCAGAAGTATTTTCCTTAGGATGGGTGAGTTCAAATCTGAGGGTCATATTTTTTAAGATAACAAGGTGTAGAGCTGGATGAACACAGCAGGCCAAGCAGCACCAGAGCAGGAAAGCTGACGTTTCAGGCCTAGACCCTTCTCCAGAAAAATCATTTTTCTGGAGAAGGGTCTAGGCCTGAAACGTCAGCTTTCCTGCTCTGGTGCTGCTTGGCCTGCTGTGTTCATCCAGCTCTACACCTTCTTATCTCAGATTCTCCAGCATCTGCAGTTCCTACTATCTCTGTCATATTTTTAAGATGAGAGGAGAAAGATTTAACAAGGACCTGAGGAGCAAAATTTTCAGAGGGTGGTTCATGTGTGGAATGAACTGTCAAAGGAAGTAGATGCAGGTGCAGTTACAACAATTCAAAAACATTTTGTATAGGTACATGAATAGGAAAGGTTATGGGCCAAATGGGACTAGTTTAGTTTGGGAAATTTGTTTGGCATGGCTAAGTCAGACCGACAGGTCTGTTTCTGTTCAGTATGACTACAAATTGCCACAGCAGGATTTGAATACATCTCTAATGTAGTAATGTAACCATTATTCTATCCAGTTAAATATTAGAATTTATGTAGGAGTCCTGATGAAGGGTCTAGACCCAAAACATCGACTTTCCTACTCCTCTGCTGCCTGACCTGTTGTGTTCCTCAAGCTTGACACTACCCACTTAGCATTTATGTACATATTTAGTATTTCAAAATTATTAGGCAAAATTAATAAACTGCAAGCTGTGGTTGGGATTTTTTTTAATCATTCTTCTGTTTGTTTACATTTTAGTATACCATGCCATCTATCTGGAAGAACTAACAACAGCAGAACTTGCCAAAAAGATTGCTGCTATCTTTAGTATATCCCAAAATCAAATAAACCAGGTGTACAGACAGGGTCCTACAGGTATTCATGTTCTCGTCAGTGATCAGGTGAGTGGATATTTTGTTGCATCATAAGAAGTCAGAGAACCATCTGCACTGAGCTCAGCAACTACCTTCATGGCTACGACTCTCTGTAAGGAGCTTGATTGAGATAGTCCTTAACTTTGTGTATTAATTACATTTCTTTACCCACATGAGAATGTAGATGTCAGCATTGTCTCCTTGGCAACACACTGAGATAAAAGGCCTGAATAACACCAGACTCCGTGTAAACAATGACTGGCAAGAGCTACCTTTCAGACTGTTGCGCACCCTTAGCGTGAAGGCCCGTCTTCCTGACTGGCGAGCAAGAGCTTAGGAATGGGGTCAGTTTTGGGTTCCAAACTCATTTTCTTGGTTATAAAACAATGGCAGTAGGCCTTTCCTCTAGATGTGCCTTAATCTTTCTAATATCTAGAGCTGCTTCGCTTTATTGATCAGCAAGTGAGGTTGAACATGACTACATAATTGAAAATTAGCATGAACAGTTGCATTGACAGAAGAGTTTTCAGTTTGCAATGAGCGAACAGCAGTAAAAACATAAACTTTAGAAACAGCTTAAATTGAGTTTGGCAATTGTGGTTGCCACCAAATGTTTGGAGAAATGACCTGTAGTGATTCAAATTTGCTCTACACAGAACAGCAATTTGTATTTGATTCTTTAATAAAACATCCCAAGGTGTCTGACAGAACATCATAGAACAAGTATGACACCATATCATGGATGAAGGTATTTGGTCAGATAGCCAAAAGCTTGGTCAAAGCGGTAGGTTTTTAAGGTATGTCTTAAACAAGACAAGCAAGATGGAGAGGTTTATGGAGGGAATGCCAGAGCATAGGGTCTTGACAGCTGAAGGCATAGCTATTAAAGTTGGGGCAGTTAAAATCATGAATCATCAAGAATTTCAGATTTGGGGAAGGTTCATTGTGGGAAGAGATACGAAAATTTTAAAAAGGAACCTTGCTTAACAAACCTAGGTGGTGGAACATGACTTACTGTGATTATGGATACGGGTAGTAGAGTTTTGGATGACCTCAAGTTGACAAGAGGATAGAACGTGGGAGGACAGCCAGTGTATTAGAATAATCAAATTTAGAGATAACCAAAAAATGTGGACAAGGGCTTTAGAAGCAGGTGAACTAAATCAGAGCTGGAGACTGGTGATACTTTAAAGCTGGAAATAAGCAATCTTCGTAATGGTGCAGCTTTGTTTGGAAAGTCATTTCAGTATCATAAACACTCTGGTTTAGCCTCAGAGGGATAAAATCGGTAGTTGGGGACGCTTATCAAGGGGACCAAAGACGAGGGCTTCAGTCTCCCTAGCACTGGATGATAAAAAAGCAATCCGAGTTTAGACTGGAGAAGTAAGTAAAGCTGAAATTGACATGACATGAATTATAAACAATGTTTGCCTTTGGGACTGGAGTTATGTTCAAGTGTCTACCTTGGGCAGTAAAGTAAGTCAAATTTGACACATGACTTGGTGTTTGCTCTATGAAACAGGTGGGATGTTTTAGTCCAAAAAAATCTCGTTGTTGATACTTGTGTTGCTAAAGGCATTTAACAAGCTTTTGGACTGCAATGAAATTTAAAATAGATGTTTTAACGACTTTAACCATCATTTGTGCACGAGGTGGACTGATGGAAATAAATCATGTTCAGACATTAATACTGTGGATATTAATATTACTATGTTTTACATGCACTTGGTATTTGTCCACCCTTCACCTTTTGGCCATGACGTGCATGCAATACTGCCATCAGTAGTCATACTCAAATTTTCACTCCCCAGATGAATATTTTACTTTCACCTAACTGGGTGCAAGAAATAAAGCAAGTGATATGGGCTGTGTTAAACTTAAGATCTGTCCTGTTATAATTGAGATTTAAGAGATTGTTCTAGCAGTTCTGTACACCCAATAATGTCAAAAGAATGAAATGGGTAGTACTTGTGTGGGGCTGATTTGTTCACTAGCACATTGAGCTAAACAGAAGTCACACCACAGAAGCAAGCTATTTGGTCCTAGCAGCCTGTGTTGATATTTACCCTCCACATGAATAAATGCATCTGAGCATGTGTAGCCACTTTCACCCAGCTTTCTTCATCTTTGTCCCTCTTCACATAATGCCAATGTTCTTCACTATTGACCTGAATAGGCAGACCAAGTATTAATTTCATCCATGGTACCATCTTCCTACTTCACAACTGTTGGGAGTGGATTGTGGAGCAAGAACTGAGGTGAGTTCTACCAAAAAAAGCCAATAGCATTCTAGAAAAAAAAAATCAGATGCACAAAACAAAATCTCTAACTTGAGGAAGTTGTACTGAATTTGAAAGAGGCTGCCTCTAGTGATTCTTGGGAACAGAATTTATCTGGAGTCTCTTGATATAAAGATATCCTTTTTCCACTAGTTTCAGGGTAATAATTTTTTTGATCATAATTAGTCACTTCTAATATTTCAAATTAAAACACTTGAGGTTGGGTATCATTTATAATAAATGTCATATTAGGTCTTTCAAGTGTTCTTGGATTAGCAGAGGGACATTCTAGTTTGAATACAAGATTTATTTTTGATATTCTTATTCCTAAAATTGCTGTGTTCTTCTGAAAATATTTTACAGATGGTTCACAACCTCCAAGATGAAAGTTGTTTTGTAATCAGTACAATAAAAGGTTTGTATTTTTCTTCAAAGCTTGTACAAGCCAATCAAACATTAAGCAGACTTATCATACTTTTTTTTCTGTTTTACAGCTGAAAATAGCGAAGGCTACCATGTAATTTTGAAGTAACCTGTCCCATTTAGCAGTTAAGCTGGACTACGTTTTTGCATATAGAAGATATCTTTATTATGACAAAGGACATTGAGCAAATTCATGTAAATGTTAGAATCTGACTTCACTGTACAAAATGTTTCATATTGAAAACACAGCTTGACTGTTCAGTTACTTTACTGTGAGTTTGAAATTTCTGGAAATATCACTGCCACCAATCTGCACCCTCCTTGCATGTGTAGGATGCAGCAAGCTCGAGGGTAGACCTGAAAGTCCAGAAATTATGGTTCAAAGTGGTCTTCATAAATATGACAAGAGGAGGAAAATGGCCAGTAGATCCAGATTTGCACAATAATAGTCTCATTTTGAAGCAGTTCTGCTTCACCTTATCTGTCTAGTTTCTTGATTATTGGTTGAGATTGTTGAGGTATGCCAAGTTATTTTTTAAATGTTTGCCTTTTACTTTGTGCCGTAATGCATTTTACTGCCTTCACAAGATACTAGTTTCATTCTATAGAACTGTATCTGCAAGATCATATAGTGCAGTTGCTAATTTGCATTCTAAAGAGGAAAAACTATATAAAAATGTTGTGATTTCAATTCCTGTCTCAAATCAGGACATTTGTTTAATTTAAAGTTGCAGCTTGCACATTAAGTATATTTTTTCTGCTTCAAGGTCACAGGGCTTTTTATATAATAAAAAAAGCTGATCTTATTTGTTTGGAACATTTAGTGCTTTTTATTGTTTGAGTTCAGTGTCAAACCTTTTTACCTGTAGCTAAACAGCAGTTGTGAATAAAGCAAGGAGTTTCTCTGTTTTGTTTGTAAATCATAATTGCTGTTAGATCAGAGGATAGGTATGTTCTGCATTAAAAAATAAATTTGTAAATTCCATTAATCAAATCCTACGCTTTCGAAAGCTGTATTTAAAAAAAAAAGTTGTGTCCAATAATTCTCCAAGTCATAATTGTGCCTATGTGACCAAATCGCACTGCACTGAAATGTTAATAAAATCAAGTTTGCTTACTTTTAAGATGTTTTTATGGGGTTATAATGAATTAGTTGGCAAATGAGAATTTTCAGCTCAATACCATGTATGCAAGTCAAGGAAGGGTCTGTTGTGACATAGTGGTTATATTCCTACCTCTGGACCTCAAGGTCAGGGTTAAAGTCCCACCTGCCATGATGGTGTCACAAGATTTCCAAATGGTTTAAAAATGATTAAGTTACTAAAGGAAAAAAAAAACTTGTTAATTTGGCTGTTCACTTGAACTTCTGAGTTGTCAAAATTGTGTTTAAACATACCATCAACAGTAAAAGATTTTAACATTCATTTATGGTTCAATTAGCTAGTGAAACATAAGCATCAGCAACTTAGTTTTGACTTGGATCTTAATTATGGGATAAATTCACACTGTCTGTGTAATAGTTTTTAAAATCATTTTGCAAGTGTCTTAAACCCTGTACAATGTGACAATTAAGTTACATGGGTCATTGCTATCAATTTTATACAACAATGTGGAATGTTGGCATTTATCTGACAATTCATTTAATTTACAAAGTGATGACTATCTGTAGCTTTGGACCATACGGAGGATAAAAGTGGAAAGTATCCATTGATTTCCTTTTGAAATCATTGACTTTCCACTTTCATCACCTTTAGTTGTTGTATTTTTTTTTTAAAGAAAGGCTTCCCCCATTTCTCTCATCTTAATCTTAGTCCTTTTTACTATAGCCAGCAGGAACACTTTTGTCAATCTTGTCTAAACTTTAGAATTTCAATTTATGAAGTAATTTAGTATGAAATATTCCAAATTTAGGTTCTGCCATCTACATTAAATAGCACAGTACAGTCCTACAATGAAGCACCACCTTGTTTCTAGATGCTTGCTGATGTGCAGTGCGTCACACTGTTTTAAAGTTTCCTGGAATTTCAGTTTTCAATGCTTGTATTTCATGTGGAACAGGAGTTTAAAACTACATGGTATTTTTGAATCAGTCAATGCCAAAAGAACACTGGATGTTTTCTGAAGATACACCCATACAATTAACACAGTAAAGACCACTTTCCTTTGGATGTTTTTCCATTTGGTAACATTCAGGGATTCTTATCACCTTTCAGCCAATATTCTGGTCTCTAGATCAGAGACTGGAAAATGCACATTAGGGTGTAGTGATCTGTTAAGTTGCATGAGATTGCTCTGGAAATGTTAACTTGATTATATGAATTGAGCTTCATCACTGATCACTATGGTGTATCCTGCCAATGTGAAAACCCATTTACTCCTAGCCTGATGATTAGTCAACAAATCCTCTATCCATGCTAATGTTACCTCCTGTGTTAATGCTCTTATTTGGTGTAGTAACCTTTGCAGCACCATGTCGAATGTCTACCAGTTACCCTCAAACGTGCTTGTGACTTTCTGAAAGAACAGCAAAGCAAACATGAATTCACAACCATGAGGACTCGACATGGATGAATTGTTCCAGTAGTGTCTATATAGATTCTAGCATTTTCCCCATGGCAGATATTGGACTAAACAGCTAATTTCTTGCTTTGTCTCCTTTCTTCCTTGAATAGAGAATCACGTTTGGACAAGGGGTTACCGGACTCAAAATGCTGACTGTTTCTCTCTACAGATACTGACAGAGTTTCTCTGACAATTTTCTTTTTGTTTCAATATTTGAAGCATTCACGATTGTGTTACATTTAATAATACAATAATCAAAGTATGATGCAAAAACAAGTATTTTTAAAATCAAACATGAATTGCATCAATTTACAGACTGAATAAAATTGACAGCTGTCAGTTAAGATCTAGATTTTTGTGAATTTTAATTGAGCACTCACTTCCATGGTAACCAAGGAGGTACTCAACAATCAAACAAACCCACATCATATGTATAACAGTAGCTAATTTTTAAACAAAAAAAAATACAATTCTCTAAACCGGGATTATCATTTAAATAGTTGGCTAATTGTTAATATAAACACAAATTATGGTAAAAAGTTTAAGTACTGAATATGTGATAAACTTCTACAAACTTAGAAAAATTGTTGATAAGCGTATGGTTTTTTGCATTACAACTGTAATATCTCATTAAGTGTACACTGATTTAATTTGATATCAAGCCTGTTGTTTTTGTTCATGTAATCACCCATAATTCACTGTAGAAAATGAATTTAACTGCATACTTCCCTTTATATTTAAAGTTAAATTTGAATTCCAGCAGGTTTCATTGCAGAGAAGTGCTAGACAAAGAAATTGGAATTATTACTTTATTCCATTTTAATGTACATTTTAATGGTAAGATGTACAGTAAAGCTATAAACACTTGCTAAGAATCCAGCTTGTCAATTTTGAATTTTATACATTGATACTTGACAAACTTTTCACCCCCAGATTTAGGATAAAAGGTCTTTTAAATCAGTTTAGATTAAATACATTTGAATCTTCACCATTCCTGCTGTAGAAAGACAAGTGGCCGTATGCAAAAGTGAACAGAAAACATGTGCTGACTACTGCATATCGTCTTTTATTCAGAATTCCAAAATTACATTTTTACTGTGATATGCAGATAGTTTTAAAATTGGCTTTAATCCTAGAAACAATCATGCCTTATTCAGATCAAGTCAAATATCACAAGTCACTTAAGATAAAACCAATTACTTTTTTGTGAAAACATATTACTGATTTGTATCCCGCTCAAACAAGATATTCAACACGTATTTTTCAAAGTAGCTAATGTGTATTGAGAATGTCGGTCCTAATGGAAGAAATGCAGTTTCACAATTATGTGAACTTAACTGTTGCCAAACAAAGATCTTTCCATAGCTACACGTACAGAAATAAAATTATCCCAAACACTACAATATTGAAGCCTAAGGCCAATTAACCAATGTGGCTTCATCAGCTACATGCCTGACACATCACAATGCAATTGGTTAGTGAAGCAGTCTGTACCATTGAATGCTGATTTCAGGTATGGTCATCATTTCAACATTAATAGTGGGGGATGGCAGTGAGGTCATAGTATTTGCATTGGACTTTACAAGAAAGCATTTCTGTTATGCATGGGATCTTATACTATATCATTCCACTCCAACCTTCCCTTTAACACTTGGTCCAAGTTTAGACCTTTCTCTAACCTAACTCCATTAACTTTGCTATTTTCAGTAAAATTGACAAAAAGTTAGGTAAATCAGGTTGTGTAGTGATTTCTTCCTAGAGCTTTTCCCCTATTTGGAGATCCAAGATCACAAGTGCAAGAACAAGTCACTTTCACAGTATTTCTTAAATACAAAATCTCATGTCAAAGGATAATGCAGCATCTGCAAAGCCGTTGTCCACTGCCTCCCACTGAAGGTGGAGGAGTAACTGGGGCGAAGTAAGCGTGAACCTTGATGTCTGGTAGATGGGCCTAGAAACAGTGAAGAAAGCACAAAGCACTTTATACGTGTAATAAGGAAACAGAATGTAAAATTAAATGCTGAGCGGGTCTGATAGCATCTGTGGAGAGAAAAAAATAATTTTTCAAGGTTTGAGATCTTTCATAGGAAACCTACACCTGTGCTCCATACTGCAGGTGTATTCTCACCAGTATTCAATAATCCCACATCTTTATATTAGAGACTAGCATACCATTGATCCTTTTCATAGAATTAATATGCTGGTGCAACTAGCTATGATTTATATACAAGGACTTCAAACCTTAATGCAAACATTTACTTTCCCTTAAAAAAAAATCCTGCTTTTCCATTCTTTAAACCAAATTGGATAGTTTCACATTCATCTATATTACTCTCCAGCTGTCATCTTTTTACACCAATATAAAGTGTGAGGTTCATCTTTATTTTGCTATCAATGATTTAGTGTTTGATTTTGAGTTCGTGTGTCAGGGTTTTGATGTGTGTTTTTTGAGTGGATTTAACGATCAACTTGTAGCCAGTTGCTTTTTTAAAAAAAGGTGTGTTCCTGGTATATATGGAGTTTTGTTTTACATTGGGACAGTTTTTGTAAGTGAAGCAAGTAAATAGTTGTGCATTAGGCATTCAGTCTAGGTCAGTTCCCTCTTTCAGTCTTCTAGATTTTTAAACCTTTGATAACTGACTTGGCTAGTTTGCTTATAATTCAGGTGGTAATCCAGGATTATTAATTTTAATTTCATACTCTTGTTCCTCAAATTCAGTTTGGTCTTTGGTTCTGACTTGGACCACAACAATTGGACTTCTGGTTTTTTGACTGTAGCAATCCATTCCACTCAAAGCAAAAACTTTTTATACTGGCTGGTGACTTTCATACCTAAAAATAGATGAACAATCAACTGAAATAAAAACGTAAAGCAGTGCTCTGATGGTCATAGCCTGCCCTCTTGAAATTTTCAAGAATAAAGGGGTGGAATGTTCACTCCGCAAGATTTTCCACTTATGCCAGGAATGGGTCAGCCCAACCATTGCATTGAAAGAACGGGGAAAAGTAGCTCAGGAAACTGTTTTAGTGGATATTTTTAGTCAACATTTTCAGAGACGTCATTACCCCTGGAGCAGGTAGGACCTGGGCTTCGTGATTCAAATATAAGGACACTGTCTCTGTGGCACAAACTTAGAAGAATGATCCATGTTCAGTCACATGGTTCTTCTCGGTAATGGTCCTTTGGTAGCAAAGCGATCATTCAGAACAGTTCTTATTTCACAGTCAAGATGATAATTGTCACCAGTTATCGTGGGGGGAGAAAAATGTTCTTTCCCCAGAAATGTCTTCAATTTTAAAAAACCTTTTTATTTGGTACTAACTAGTAATTACAATATTAACCTGATCACAGAATGACTGAAAACAAAGAACTATGCAAACTTCCAAAACTGAATAAAATTGGGTCACTGGATCATAAACAGATTTTTTAAAGTACATACTCCCTTTACTGCAAGTTATTTGGATGAAAAAGACTCATCCAGTAAAAAGAAACTTGGTGAATTAAGTATTCTATATATCTTAGATTTTTTTAGGCATATTATCCAAATTTTAAATAATTTAGAATTGGAATGCTCAACATTACATTTTCTTCTAATAATTTCTTTGGCACAGAGCTATGCCACAGCTCTTTAAAGCATATCATTTATGAGAGTACAGTTACAATGTTTTAAAAGACATTTACATGAATGAGAAATGTTTGGAGGGGTATGGGACTAGTTTAGTTTGGGATTATGGTTGGCACGGACTTAATTCCAGTGTTGACATAGCCACTTCTTCAATTATTAATGCAATTAGCATTACGAAGCTGTGTCAAGAACTGGTCTCTATTCTAAACAGCTTGAATATAATATTGTTTTCCTTTATTGATGAATCAAAAACAGGATTGCCAATTCAGTCATCAAAATCAGGGTGGAATCAACAAATCTAGTGCCAAACAACATATTTGTGTTATCTGCAATCTCTGATGCTGGTTCAATCTGCTCAAATCAGGAACTGACTAGTGTACTAATGAAACTGCATTTAGATATAGTGAATGATGGAACACCATTATTAAATGCTTATTCTTAGCAATGATCACAACAGATCACCATATCAGGGAATATTTCTACTTGTATATCAAACAAAGAACTACAGATGCTGGAGATCTGAAACAAAAACAAATTGCTAGCGAAATAAAGAAGGTCTGGCAGCATTGATAGGAAGAAAGCAGAGTTAACACTTCTATTTACTTTTAAATATATCAAGGAATTCGTTTTGAAGAAGAGGATTTTTATTATACTGCCCAACTGCACTAGTTCATAGAAGATTTGATTATCCAAATAAATTTTAGCAGAAGAACCAATCGAATTCCAAGTTCATTGAATGTAAATGTTGCCTATTTTGCATCATCTCTAACACTAATTTCTAGTCCAAGAATTCAACACTGACAGAAGTGTGAGTTTCCTTTTCCTCATTTGCTGTCACTTTTAATTAGAATTCCTTTCCAATTTCTCCCTGTTTTGGTGATGACCTTCCAATCTCTTCATGGTGACTTCAGAAAAACTATTATTCCATATCACTCTTCAGTATAATCTCCCCGACCTGCTGTCCATACAAGTGTACTACTGACAAGGGTGATTGGATGGTAAGAAACTCATTTGTCACCTCAGATTCAGTTAGTGCCGAAACAAACTTCTCATTGGCCTATTTAGACCAGATGGACAATAAAATCAAACTTGCCTGGTCAATGTGGTCAGTATAATAGTAGGCTTTCAATTTACCACTCATTCCAAGTACTAAGGTTCAATCTGGTACACATGGTTAGTCAAAATGAAGCTGAGCTAAAGTTGTTCTTTACCCTTATTCTTTTGATTCCTGCCCGAGTGACTTGCTGACAGTCATACAATTCTATTCTCTCCAGGTTGTGACAGTTCTTCAAATGTTCAAGTGTCACATCAGTGATGAGGGGACAATTGTCCAATTCTACAACCTGAAGTCTTTCATGGCCACAGGGACTGTTGCTTAAGTGACGGATACCATCATCTGTAATCAGTTCACAGTGAGATAAACTCTGCAAGACAAAAATAACTAAAAATGTGATTCATGTTACAAATAGAAATGATGAAATATCAACCTTTATTCTCTTGGGTTGCAAAAGAATAATTGCTGAAGATGTCACTTCACAAATATATATCTTTAGGAATCATAGAATGTTTACTGCGCCCTCCCGGTCCTTAGAACAACCATTCACCACCACCGTCTGTTCCTTGTCACTCAGCCAACTTTGCGTCCAAGTCACCACCTTTTCTTTGACTGCAGTATCTTCAACTTTACTGACACTTTTTTCTATTATATACTATTTCAACTTTTTTCTGGTGTCCACATACACCGTATTAACTGCATTACCCTTATTGTCTCTATCTTACTTCAAATCAAGTGAGCTAAATATACTCGTACAGTACAAAAACAGACCTGTAGTCCAACTCACCCATGCCAAAGGAGTTTCCCAAACTAAACTAGGCCTAATTTCCTGCGTTTGGCACATATCCCTCTAAACCTTTCCTATTCATGTACCTGTCCTAGTGTTTTAAATGTTGTAACTGTACCTGCAACATGCTTTGCATTTAATAGGTACATGCTGGCTTTCCTTCATGAATCCATATTGTCTAAATGACTTAAATTTTCTTTTAAGAGCTTTAACTCTACCTGGCTACTCTGTAGTGGAATGATAATAAAGTGTGTTACTTCTGCAATTCTCCAATCCTCTGATTCAATCCCTGTGTCGAAGGAAGACTGGAAGATTGTTACCAGCACCTCTTCAATTTTTCTTAATTACTTCCCTCAGTACCTTTGATGTATCACACCAGGTCCTGGTGACTTATCAACATTAAGTGCAGTCAACCTATCCGAAACCTCTATCAAACTTCAGTCCATCCTTGTGTTTTATTAAGAATTTGGCATCTTCTTCCTTTTTGAAGATAGATGCAAACCACTCATTACCTCAGCATGTCCTCTGCTTCCAAATATAAATCTTTTTAGGACTCCGACTCCACTGATTTTCTCACTATTTTACTATTTATAGGTCTGTACAGCACTTTTAGGTTTCTTTTGCGTTGGCTGTCATCACTTCTCAATCTCTCTTTTGCTCATTTCTCACTTACCCTACTAATCTTTCACACAGCTTGCTTTCTTGCAACATCTACCTGACAGGATACACACCTTTTTTATGTTCCATTATCAAAGGATCTCTAGATTTGTTCATCCTACATTTGTCTTCATGCCCTCAGCATCAACTGGTAATTTTAAAAACCTCACCTTCCAAAAGCTTAATCAGGCCAAACTAGGAAAAATTAGTCAGCAAGGGTCACCAGACCTGAAACATTAACTCTGATTTTCTCTACACACATGCTGCCAGACCTGCTGAGCTTTTCCAGCAACTTCTGTTTTTGTTCCCGATTTACAGCATCCACAGTTCTTTCAGTTTTTATTTAGGAAAAATTAGTATTTCAAGCATTGTAAGCATGTTTGCAAAGCCTGCCATCCATAACAATGATTTGTATTATATAGCATCTTTAACCGTGAAAAGTATTGCATGGTTTTTGTAGAGAAATCAAAAACCAAATCAAAACCAGAAAAATGCTGGGAAGTTAGGCAGCATCCGTCCAAGAGGGAACAGTTAACATTTCAGGTCTGGGTAACCATGCATCAGAACTGGGAAAAATTACAGCATAAATGGGTTTTGACAAAAGGGTGCATGGGACAAGGCAAAAAAAAAAAAAAAGCTCCTTAACAGGGTGGAGGACAGGAACATTTGTCTTCCAGGGCCAAAGGAAATGAAACAAAAAGTTGCGCTAGAGCATGGAATGGAATGAAAAAGAATCAAAACAAGGAGAAAAAAAACAAAACAAAAGGTGACAAAAGTTTAGAGTCTGAAATTAGTTGAAAGAGGAGGTGCTAACCCTCATCAGAGCTTATTTCAGCCTCAGTGGACCAGTACAGTCACAGAAGAGAATGCATGAGAGCAAGATGTAGAGGTAAAATAACAGGTCACTAGACTTTCAGGATCATGCTTGCAGACAAAATGGAGATGGTCCACAAGATGGTCACCCAACCTGCATTGGGTCTCTTCAATGTTGAGAGATGACATTGTGAACAGCAAACAGAGAGGACTAGATTGAAATTACAACAGGTGGATCATTGCTTCACCTGGAAGGAGTGTTTGGGCCTTCAGTGAGGAGAGAGGTGTGAAAGTGTATGATCAAATTCGACAGAAACAGAAAACAAAGGCAGAAAAAGGGTACATAAACGAAACAAATAGAAATCCTGCTACAAATCTCTTTCAATCAATATTTTTCCCGCCCTACCTTATCACAACTTCCCTTTCGCCCTTTTCTTCAAAGTAAATTCAAAACTTACCTTTCTAACTTTCCCTATTTCTGTATAAAAGGTTACAAATGTGAAATGTTAACTCAGCATTCCTCTCTCATAGATGTAGCCAGATCTGGTTATTTCCAGCAGTTTGTTTTTATTTCCAAAGGTTCATGGTTTAATCAGTTTGAGAAGCAACAAATAAGTTTCAAACAAACGAATGAAAGTTGCTCTCAAATATTGCAACATTGCAAGACCAGACTTAGGGGCAAACAACTGCCTATTGGTATCATCACTGGACCGTTAACTCAGAGACTCAAGTAATGTTCTGGACAGAGATTTGAATCCTGCCATGGCAGATGGTGAAATTTAAATTCAATAACAATTTGGAATTGTGTCTAATGACGACCTTGAATCCATTGTCGATAGTTTTTTTTCTAACTATCTGGTTCACTATATCCTTTAGGGAAGTTGCCGTCCTCAACTGGTCTGGCCTCAGTTCCACAGCAACTGTTCTCTGGGCAATTAGGCTTGCGCAACAAATGCTGGCCTAGTCTGTGACACCCTTATCCAATAAATTTAAAAAAGATTCAACACTTCAGGAATATATAAAACATATGTAAATATAGCACTTTGAACATATTGAAATGTTTGAAGTCACTTCACAGGGGCCTTGCTGTTGTAGTTTATATGCACGATTTAGTCTTGAATGTGGGAGGTTGATCAATAGGTTTGCGGATGATACGCAAACAGTTGGGATGGTAAATAGTGAGGAGGAAAGCCTTAAATTACAGGAGAGTATAGATAAGCTGGTCAGATAATCTGTGGCAAATTGAATTCAATCAAGATAAATGTGACGTAAGGAACTCGGCAGGACAAACAAGGCAATGCAATACATAATGAATGGTAGGACCCTGGGGATCACAGAGGGTCAGAAAGACCTTACTGTGCAAGTCCATCTATTCCAGTAGCAGGACAGGTAAAGTGGTTGAGATGACATATGGGATACTTGGCTGAGACAGAGTGTTTAAAAGCAGGGTGGTCATGCTGGAACTGTATAAAAAGTTGATTAGCCCACACCTAGAGTGCGGTGTGCAATTCTTGAATCCACATTTTAGGAGGGATGTGATTGCACTGGAGATTTAGAAGAATATTGCTTGGGTTGGACAGTTGTAGTCATTAAGAGAGACTGGATAGACTTAGTTTCCTTGGAGCAGAGGAGACTATGTAGGGACATAATTGAGATGTGCAAAATTGTGAGGGCATAGACAGGACAGAACTTTTTTTTCTAGGTAGAGGAAAGGTAAGGGGCAGAAGATCTAGAGGGGCTGAAAGGAAATTCATTTTGCCCAGAAAGTGGAATTCATTGCCTGAAGAGGGCAGCTGAAGCAGAAACCCTCAAAATATTAATAGTATTTAGATATCCATTCCTTATGATTTCTTATAAAGGACACCAAATCTTTGAAATTAAAACCTCTACACTTATTAGGATGCATCAGTCTTGCAATGTTGCTGCAAGACCTCAGCTTGATGAAAACCTGCCTGTGTGTAAAGCTGTCAATAAAAACAAACTGAATTAACCATAGTACCTTGTAAAGCAGAAGGACTGTTGCAAAACAGAAGGCAGATTTAATTGATAGCAGCTGCACCCTCCAGTCATCTGTGATGAATTGTTCTGCACAAATTCTGCCTGGGTGACTGAACGTGCAGTCTAATTCAATTAAAATTTTATCCAGAATTTAGAGAGAGTGTTCTTTTAATAGGATTAAGTAGAGTGATCAAATTATTTATGTAACCTCAAGACAACTTACTTTCTTCTGATTTTCACCACCTGATGACATTAATATTTGTCTCATGCTGATTAAAAAAGAGAGATCAGGCTTTATGAATGGAATACAATAATGTGTTGACAAATCCACTGACCTCCTAAAAACTAGTCTCAACATGCTCCATGTCAACTTTCATTTGTGCCTTTTTCATAGATTTACGTAACAGGCTACGTATCTCACTGGAAACTAGATCACTTAAAATATGCTTACTGCAGTTATTTTACAGGGAATTGCAAGTCTCTTCAGCAATCCCAACATGTTATCAAACGTAAAGGAGGCAGTATTTTTACGTTCCTTAAGCTTGCATCAATCTTCGTTACTTAACGAATTGAGAGAACATTTAAACCAATCTGTTCCTCATGCTTTTGAAATGCAAACACTGAAAACTAAATGCCAATATAATTTTTTTGGATGATTCATTGTTTTCAAACCCTTCCTCAAAATGCATCAAGAGTCAGCCTCTGCTTCTCTACTCCATTGGAGCTTACAACTCAGAGTTCCAAAGAGTCATAACAGACCAAAACATTAACTCTTCTCTCCAGAGATGCTGCCAGACCTGATGAGTTTCTCCAGCACTCAAAAACAAATTCAACAGTTACAGTACTTGCTTTCATCCCTGCCTCTCTGCTTATGTAGTCCATCAAAATGATACTTAAAAATCAGAGCTAAAAGCACCCATCAAGTGTTCCTTGGGTATTCTGGAATTTACTCAGAATTCTGTTCAAATTCTGTTATAATAGTCTGATTTGCTAAAGGTGTTTTTACATCATTCTGCCGATCTTTAATGTTTACATTATATTCACACCAGCTTCTCATACCTCAACCATTTTGAAATCATAGCCTTCTATCTGGTTGCATTATGGCATGGTTTAGCAACTGCTCTTCCCAAGACCGCAAGAAACTATAGAGAGTCATAAATACAGCCCAGTCCATCATGCAAACCAGCCTTCCATCCATTGACTCCATCTATACTTCCCACTGCCTCAGGAAAACAACCAACATAATCAAAGACCCCTCTTCCATCTCGGTTATATCCTTTTTCAACCTATTCTGTCGGGCCAGAAGATATAAAAGTTTGTATACGCTTATGAATAGATCCAAGAACAGCTTCTCTGTTGTTATCAGACTTTTGAAAAGACCTCTTAAATGTTCATTCTGATCTCTCTCTCTCTCTCTGGACCTTCTCTATAGCTATAACACTATTCTGCACTCTGTTCTGCTACACTGATGCACTTTGTATGGTACAATCTGCACGAATTGCATGGAAAACACTTTTCACTGTATCTCAGTATGTGACAATAATAAGTCAATTAGTTATTCTTTGCATCACCGTAGAATCTCATTTGTTCCAAGAAGACTCAAGAAATTGCTTCCCCAAAAAATATTTCAAGATCTCAGTCTGATCCAACAGAATCTGACTCTTAAGATGTGAGCATCGGTTAAAGCCCGCAGCTCGTCCTTAGCATGTACCAATATAGGAGGTGGCGTAGGCGTAGGAGTAGTAGTAGTAGTAGTAGTAGTCGTCGTCGTCTTAGTAGTCGGAGGAGCCCATCAAGCCTACGCAATAAGACCATGGAAAGTCTTCTTGGGGCCTGGGATGGGTCCACATCAAGCAGATGTTCACCTGCACATCTGCCAATGTGGTATACTGCATCCGCTGTACCCGGTGTGGCTTCCTCTACATCGGGGAAACCAAGCGGAGACTCGGGGACCGCTTTGCAGAACACCTACGCTCGGTTCGCAACAAACAACTGCACCTCCCAGTCGCGAACCATTTCAACTCCCCCTCCCATTCCTCAGACGACATGTCCATCCTGGGCCTCCTGCAGTGCCACAACGATGCCACCCGAAGGTTGCAGGAACAGCAACTCATATTCCGCTTGGGAACCCTGCAGCCCAATGGTATCAATGTGGATTTCACAAGTTTCAAAATCTCCCCTCCCCCCACCGCATCCCAAAACCAGTCCAGCTCGTCCCTGCCTCCCTAACCTGTTCTTCCTCCCACCTATCCCCTCCTCCCACCTCAAGCCGCACCTCCATCTCCTACCGACCAACCTCATCCCGCCCCCTTGACCTGTCCGTCCTCCCTGGACTGACCTATCCCCTTCCTAACTCCCTACCTACACTCACCTTTACTGGCTCCATCCCCGCCTCTTCGACCTGTTTGTTTCCTCTCCACCTATCCTCTCCTCTATCCCTCTTCTATCCGCCTCCCACTCTCTCCCTATTTATTTCAAAACCCCCTTCCCCTCCCCCTTTTCTGATGAAGGGTCGAGGCCCGAAACGTCAGCCTCTCTGCTCCTATGATGCTGCTTGGCCTGCTGTGTTCATCCAGCCCTGCACCTTGTTGTCTCGGATTCTCCAGCATCTGCAGTTCCTACTACCCCTATCCCAGACACAAATTCACTACTATTTTCAAATGTGCTGACCTACTTATCTCAATTTACATGAAAGTTAGAATTCCTGATTAAAACTACTGTCTTTGCTAATGGTTGTCTACTCTCTAATTTCCACAATCTAACATTGTACTGACTCCTACTAGTCTTAAATCCTTTACTAATTCTACCCAGCCATCCACTGCTTGTGCTTGTTAGATCCTCTTTTATCATTAAAGTAATTTAGTCTTATGAGTAACAATTCATACAAATTGTTTATATATTTGGGCCATTAATAAGTTTATATTATTTGGGCTGTACATAAATATTTATAATGCTTGAACAGAAATAAAAAGGCCAATTTCCAACTTGTCTATTTTAAAAACCAAGTGCGAGACAAAACAATTCCACACCCAATACAAGACTGGATAAATTTATGTTAGGTGGTGGTGGCGGAAGAATAGAAATTACAATCGAGTAGATTATAACAGATTTTATTCCTTCTAGACCAGAAAAGACAAATGATTCAACTGCAATAGCTAACCACTTACCAGTGCTTCTAACCTAGGACAATGAATGGACAACTGAATCAACGTGTTGTCTGTGATCTGTGGGAAGAAAGAGATTAGTTATTAAACGTACCAAAATGAGAATAAAAGAGAACAGTCTTCTGGCAACCCATTTACATATATTAATTGCTCCTCCATGCAACATATTGGAACAATAGAATATTCATATTTTCAGCATGTAGGTTCATCAATAGCATCAATTTCTCCTTTTATTAATACAAGTGAAAAATTTATAGAATCATACAGGATGGAAACAGACCCTTCAGTCTAACTCCTTTATGCTGACCAAACTAAACTAGTCCCATTTGCCTGCATTTGGCCCATATCCCTCTAAACCTTTCATATTCATGTACCTGTCCAAATATCTTTTGGATATTGTAACTGTTCCTGAATCTACTACTTCCTCTGGCAGTTCATTCTATATATGATCCACCCTCTGTAAATTTAGACACTAGAACTGGGCTGAATGAAAATTAGGAAGATGCATCTTCTGGCAGGCTACAATCTCAAAATGTTTTAGAAAGGAGATTTCAGTCTAACTTGAAGAGATTTTCTTTATTAAAGTTTGAAAATGTCCAGCTCATGAATTGAAGAAATAAGTATAATCACCTATTAAAATTATTTTTTAACAAGTGCAAACAGGTAACTATTTTGAGCTGTAAAAATACACAGAATTGTGTTTGGGTAAAGAACTCTTGCATTGTACAGATGAGTTCTGAAAAGTTCAACTGTTTCTGGAACATGGGAGTCGATCATTCAGCCCTCAAGGCTTGCTCACCATTTATTAGGTTATGAATCACCTGTTCTCCAATTCCAAATCATGTGATGACCTTAAAAATGCATCAGTCTTTTAACACTTCAAATTGGCTTAGTGTGTGTAACCTTTTCATGGAGAATTCTGGATTTCTACTACTGTGAAATGTTTTCTGATTTCAAACTGCCTGCCTCTAATATTAAGATCACATCTCCTTCTCTTGGGATCCTCGATAGAGAGTTTCTCTGCATCTCCCTTTCATCCTGTATAACACGAATTATTTTTAATTCGCTCATGGAATGTTGGCATTGCTGACTTTTTCCCTAGTTGTCCTTTAAAAGATGAATAGTGAGCTGCCTTCTCGAACTGCTACAGTCGATGTGCTGTAGGTAGATCCACAATGCAGTGAAGATTTTCATCCAGCAATACACAAGGAACAGCAATATATTTCAAGTCAGGATGGTGAGTGGGCTTGAAGGGGAACTTGCAGGTGGTGGTGTTCCCATCTATCTGCTGTCCTTATCCTTCTAGATGGCAGTGGTCCTGGTTTGAAAGGTGCTGTCTAAAGAGCCTTGGTGAATTTCTGCAGTGTATCTTAAGATGGTACAAACCTCTGCTACTGAACATCAGTGTTGCAGAGAGTGGATGTTTGCAGATGTGGTGCCAATCAAATAGCGTGCTTTGTCCTGGATGGTTTCATGCTTCTTAAGTATTGTTGGAACTGCACCCATCCAGGCAATTAGGTCACACCTCTTGTACACTCAAGAGAATAGAAGTTCATGTTTATGCAAAACATGCCCTCACAATTTAACACCAAGTCATGTATCATTTTGATGAATTTGAACGAAATGCACAGTTGGCCTCAATAGGTAATAGCTCAGGTATATTTTACTGTATAGAACTGAGAGATTCTACAAGTAGACTTTTTCAAAATTCCTGGACAACTCAAGCACAACTTTCTCCTCAATGTATTTCAGGTCATTCAAGATGAAGCTCAACATTATTAGTCTTTTTGATTGCTTTCTATACTTGGCTTTCTGATTTGTGGATGTGGGTATCAGAATCCCCTTGCCCTTCCTTTCCAACTATTTGGAACAACATGATTTGTCTTCAATCTAAAGTCGATGACCTCTTTTACTCTAGGTTGGCTTCCATTGATCACACTTTTGCCCACTCTCTGTTCATATCTTTTTGTAACTTCCTTTTCCAATGTGCACTACTCATTGTGCTTCCCAGCTTATCATCTATTAACTTAAAAAAGCCAATAACCTAGTACACATTCTTTGAGAATTCATTTGCTATTTCCCACCAAAGGACCATTTATGCCTCCTCTCCATCACCTACTTACCAAGCAAATTTCTAAATCGGGCTGTCAATTCACATTTTTAGCAATTGTTTTTCATACAAAATCTTATAAATGCTTTCTGGAAATTCTGTAATGACTTGACAAATGCGCTGGAAGATCAAGCCCCTGTGCACCACAAGTCATACCAAACGTGTACATGTCTTCTGATGTACATGTCCATGGCAAAAATGTATTTTCATAATAGGTAGGAAAACCATCTTAGTTATTGTGCAGGATTAAAGTGTATCATCCTTTATCCTCAACACATACACACAGCTCTGCTGTGCTATTATGAATGAGGAAAAAATACAGGTGGGAAAAAAAGAGAACAGCCCTGTAGAACAATAAGAACATAACAATAAGAAACAGGAGGTGTTGGCCATCCAGCCTATCAAGCCTACTTTGCTATTTAATAAGATCACGTGTTTGAGTACAGAATATAGAAGGGTAAACTTCAGTTCCTTTGATTTCCTGTATACAAAGTCTATTTGCTGTCAGGCACAGTGTTTTGAAACACTGGTTTTGGTGGAAGATCAGTTAGACCCAAGTCTCTGGGTTAACAGACTTTCAGAATTCATTAGAAGATCAGAGATACTGCTTCAGCTGGGAAAGAGTTAGCTGAAATTTACAACCTTAATGATTCACAAATACTTCATTGAGAGAGGGAGCAAACCTCTACAGCAACTGCCAGCATTCTTCCAATTCCCACTTTTCAGAAGACAGAATTTGCTATTTCCAGCTTGAAGGAAAACAAACCAAAAATCCAGAGGCTGTTACTGGGCAACCTTCAGTACAAGCTTCTTCTAAAGTTCAACTCGTTTGTCTAGCAATCAAGGCCATAAGAGTAATCTCTTAAAAGTTTGACTAGGCACTGTTTATCAAAGTTAGTTGCTCTTCCAGTAAACAGCAAGTAGCTCTCAATTCTCCTTAACACTTGACTTTGCAACAAAATTATTCCACTTTTCAGCCCAGTGATACCTTCATAAACCCAATTCCAGCAGGTCAAGTTTGCCAATTATTTGCCTATTAATGCATGGAGCGGGCTTTGAAGAAAAGATCATTTATGGAAGAGGAGGAAGCTATTCAGCCAGAGTACATACCAGCTCTCCTTGGGAGCAATTCTCACAAGTCCCTGCAGCAGGGCTCAATTCCTACAGCCCTGCAGAATTATTTCCTTCAAGTGTTCGTCTAATTTCTCTTTGTAATGATTCATCATATCCACTTCCATCACCTTCATGGTCGTTGTGTTTTTGGACATTATACTTGCTGTGTTAAAGGGCTCCTTCTAACGTACCCGTTCCCTCAAATCTTTAAATCTGCATCCTTTAGTCCCTGTATAGTCAGGCAATGGTAACACTTTCTCCTTGTCCACCTTATCGAAACCTGTCATAGTTTTGGACAGTTCTATCAAATCTCCCCTCAATCTCTTTTACTGTAAGAAGTTCCTCTGCTTTTCCAGATAAACCTGGCAACTAACACTCCCCAACTCCAGATCCAAACTGGTAAATCTCTTCTCCACTTTCTCAAGGACTCTCAAATTGCTTCTAAAGTGTGATGGTCAGAAGTGGACTCAATACTCTAGTTATAAAATTTTGGTTACAGTCTGAAGGATTAGCACAACTTTCCTGCAGTTGTACTCAATGAAGTTCAAGATATTGCGTATTTTGTTAACCAATCTCTTATGTTCTTCAATCTTCAAAAGATCAATGGACATACAAGCCCAGGTTCTTCTGTTCCTGCACATCTCTTATAACCAAGTCATTAGGCTTATATATCGTGTGACCTCCCCACCACCCCAACAACACGGCCAAGGATTACACCACACTTCACAATATTAAATTCTATCTACCAGTTACCCGCCCATGCTGCTAGCCAATGGCCAACCTTCACTCACATGCAGTTTTTTTTTGCCCTCGGTGATAAAGGCAGCACAAAGCAGGAGTCTGAGTGAACAGACTGAGGTGACGCACCACAAATAATATAGTTCACAAATGCAGAGCAGAATGTTATGGCACATCAACGTTCTTCCCACGGTCAAAGCTGAAGAGCCAGTGAACCCAGAATTTGTTGGTGTTAGAATTGTTGTCTCAAAAATCGGCAACCATGAGACCACGTTAGTGCCAGATTTCAGAGGAAAAAAAGGAATGTTCATTCAATTAATTTAAAACACATTTAATCAATTGATGAAGTTTTCTCCTTACAAATTTTGAAAGCAATGAAAACATAGTAGTGAAGAAATAATGTTTGATTAAAAATTAATAAGTCAAATAGTAAGGCTATCTTGTAACTTGTGCTAGATTCAAGGTACAAGGGCATGGTCATGAAGCTATCAGAGAATCGCACTCCTGCCTCTGTCCCTCCTTTAAACCACTCCCTCAAAACTTTCCTCTTTTGGTAAAGGTTTTTGCTCATCTGCTCCAACATCTCCTTTTGCAGCTCAGAGAGACAGACATTCTCAAACTGAATTTGTAAAGTTTCTTAGGGCTTTTTATTTTGTTACATTAAGAGGCTCAATATGATGATGTCCGAAAGAAGTGCTTGCGCATTTACTAAATTAAATAGCCTTTTAGCATAATTGCTACAACGTATGAATAGCAGCAAATAAAAAGTCTGTCTCTCTGCATAAGTATGGTATCTTTCGCACTGACTGCATCCCAAACTGCTTCATAACCAATGAAGTAATTTTCAATTGTAGTCACTGTTGCACTGTGAGAAAGTTAGCAAACATTTTGTACAGTAAAGTTTGTAGGGAGCATTGATACAAATGACCAGATGATGATGTGTCATGTACATTGAGCGCTTAGAATTGACCAGACCAGTAGGATTCTTCCTCTGCTCTTATTCAAGTAACAATGAGACTTTTATTTAAATGTGAGAAAGGGCAGGCTTTGTAGAACAATGCATTTAACATTACGTTCAGTGGCACCTTTTAACGTTTAC